ACCGCGGGCTACGAGTCATCTGGCAAGACTGCGGGCCCCGAGTCACCAGGCACAACAGTGGGCTCCGAGCCAACTGGCGGAACAGCGGGCATCGAGTCGTCTGGCAAGACTGAGGGCACCGAGTCGTCTGGCAAGACTGCAGGCACCGAGTCATCTGGCAAGACTGCGGGCTCCGAGTCGTCTGGCGGAACAGCAGGCACCGAGTCGTCTGGCAAGACTGCGGGCACTGAGTCGTCTGGCAAGACTGCGGGCTCCAAGTCATCTGGCAAGACAGCGGGCTCCGAGTCAAGCTGGCAAGACAGCGGGCAACCGGGTCGTCTGGCGGGTACAGCGGGCATCGAGTCATTTGGCAAGACTGCGGGAAACCGAGTCGTCTGGCAAGACTGCGGGACCGAGTCGCCTGGCAAAGACTGCGGGGCACCAATGGTCGTCTGGCAAGAATGCGAGCTCCGAGTCATCTGGCAAGACAGCGGGCTCCGAGTCAACTGGCAAGACAAGCGGGCACCGAGTCGTCTGGCGGAAACAGCGGGGCATCGAGTCGTCTGGCAAGACTGCGGGCACCGAGTCATCTGGCAAAGACTGTGGGCTCCGAGTCATCTGGCAAGACAGCGGGCATCGAGTCATGGGCATAATAGGATCATCAGGCTGGATCAGTTCATCAGGCTGGGTAGAGACATCATGCTGGGTAAAGGACATCAGGCTTCATGGGTAGAGACATCAGGCCGGGTAGAGACATCAGGCTGAATTGTGGGAGCGCCGAGGCACCAGGCTGCACCACGGAAGGCAGGTTCTCAGATGGCAGGCTGACTGTTTGGATACTGGCAGGATGGTATTGGTTGGAAAGAATTTTCGCCTTTTCCTGGTTTTAGTTACCGGAGCACTGTAAGTAAGCGCAGGTTTGTAAACGGATGGAGCAGCTGAAGACAGAGAAGAGCTGGAGGCTGGAACAGAGGAGGGAGCAAGTTGCTACAGAGGAATTCTTTACAGGGTTTAAGGCAGGATAGGTGCAGCGAGTGGGAGCAGAGGACTGATATGTGGTAGTTAGCAGAGTATAACTGGGCCGTCACTGGGGGTGCTGTCGGGGATGCAGGGAAGAGTGCCTTGAGTGGAGGAATGACGTTGTAAGCTGACTGAGGGCTGGGGTGCAACAAGTCTGACCATGTCTGCAGTATGGGTTTGAACAAAGCTCAGCTTACACAAAAGCCTGTCTGGTCAAAGACTGCACTGCGTTTATACAAAATCCCTTAATACCTGTTGTGAACATGCAGCATAATGCTCCAAGAAGCAATCCACATCATCCTCTAATTTAACCATACCAGGGACTCTACCTGGTCTGCACTAAATGGTGGCAAAAAGTCATTCCTCTGCATTCAGGGGTACCAGATAAAGCCAACTCTGCACAAACCTGAATCAAAGGTTGCACCTCAGAGAATTCTGTGCCTGATCTACTAGAACATGAGCGACCCATATACATTCTAGCAGTTGATCCCGGGTATACTCCTTCAGAGTTCTGATAAGCATACTCTCTGTCATCAAAAACCAGCAGCAACAAAGTACACCACCTCATCAAGATGCATCCTTCCCCAGCAACAAGCAAGAATGGCTTCCCTGTGCAGCCACTTTCTGGTCAGGATGGCCTTGGTGTAATGTCAGGCTCCCGGTATGACCAGAGGGGTTGTGAACTGACACAGGGAACCGCAGGCTTCAGATACGGTAATAAATAAGACAATTTAATAAGACTAACAATACAAATAAAACGCAGTGCACCAAACCCAAGCTAACACAAATACATACAACAAGGTGAAACAAAACCCAAAACCTAAAACTGATATAGATACACAGGTACATATAACATATAGAGCACAACGTATTCAGGCAGGCCGGGGTCGATAACTATCGGGCAGGTAGGTTACAGGAGGAGCAGGCGGAGAGTAGTCCAGGGTCACAAGCTGCAGGGATCAAACAGGAGAAGTCAAGCTCGAGGTCAGGATCAGAAGGGTCCCGGCAGCATAGTCAGGCAAGGAACAGGAATGCAGGTTACAAGATACAGGGGCCCATGGAAAAACACACACCAAGGCACAGACTGCAGGTCCTGGCCATCCCTTAAATACACCCCAACCTCCAATCAGCCCCAGGTGGATGGCTAATTGCTGAAGTGAACCTCTGGTTGTTGAGAGAGCACCCGCTGGGCCAGCCCTGGTACTGCAGCCCACAAGGCAGGTGAGTCCCACCACTATTGGCAAGTCCATTCCTGACAGTCTGTGAGCAGTAATTTTCAAGTCTTGCCATAGAATTGTCCAATTGGAATTTAGGGACTGGATCATGAACTGGTCCATTCTAAACACATGGAATATGCTTTGGAACATTCCATTGTAGCTCTGGCTGTATGTTTTATGGTCATTGTCCTGCAGAGGAGGTGAATCTCACATCCCAGTATCAAGTCTTTTGCAGACTCCTATCAGGTTTTCTCTAATAGGATTGCCCTGTATTTGGGCACCAACGTCCAGCTTCGCATAAACTGCTGACCAGCTTCCTTTCAATCCCTGCTGAAGAAAAACATCACTCACAACAATTTCTGCCACCGCCTTGTATTCACAGTGGGGATGTTTTGCCCAAGGTGATGTGCAGTGTTAGTTTTCTACCACATATAGCGTTTTGCTTTTAGGCCAAAAAGTTCAGTTTTGGTCTCATCTGACCAGAGCACCTTCTTCCCACATTTTTGCTGTGTCCCCCACCTTGGCTTCTCACAAACTCGAGACATCTTATGGGTCTTCTTATGGATCAGGGGACTTCTTCTGGTTTTCTTTTAACAATGGCTTTCTTCTTGCTACTCTTCCATAAAGACCAGATTTGTGGGAGTGCACAAACTAATAGTTGTCCTGTGGTCAAATTCTTCCACCTGAGCTGAGGATCTCTGCAGCTCCTCCAGATTACCATGGGTTTCTTGGTTGCTTCTCTGATTAATGCGTTTCCTTGCCCACCTGTCAGTTTTAGGTGCACGGCCATGTCTTGGTATGATAGGATCAGTTTCTGTCTGTAGCCCAACTTGTCCTCGAATATTTTTCACCACCAGGCCCGGAGAAATAAAGCTCCAGAGCACCGTAGTGTAAAAGCTTAAATCTCTGAAATTTTAATGTAAAACAAGAAGAGAAACACAATAAACGTTACCCAAGTCAGAATGACCAATGAAATACTTCGCGGGGGGCCTTTATCAATGTAAGATACGTGAAGGAAAGAAACCTAACAAATGGCTGAGTGGGGACCATAATAAGGTTAATCCGTGCTCCAATTGAAGATGAAACTACAGTCCAGGAAAAAACGAGAGAACAGCTAAGAATCCTAAAACTCAAAAAATGAAACTAGGACTGTTTAACACATCTAGAAATGGAGGCATTATACAAATTGGATGCCATAGGGCATCAAAAAGATGGGATCTCCTTGACAGTTCCCTCTCTTCTTTGTCCACATAAGTGACAACACCGCACCAAAATTTCACAAATTGTTGTTTCCAATTATGCATTTGGGTATCTTTCAAAATGCATCATGCAAAGTTCCCCAGCATTCCACATAAAACACAAATATAAGTAAAAGACCATAGCAAAAATCAGCATGCCATACTTTCTTAAACGCATCCAAAAAGTTCCATGCCAATCCTAAGCTATGGATCGAGCTTGAAAGCTTGTAAAGAAGTTCTAACCCTGGACTCTCTCTACTGATTCTCCAGTGACTTCTTAGTATTCCCCAATCTCAAAAATGTGTTATGTAACCATGTACAACAGTCAAATTCAGACAAGCAGAGTAACACAACCCAGTCCAGTGGCTCGCAGCCATTTGTCCTTCTATTCTGCAGTTAAAATTAAATGAGCACCCAGGTTCTGCTAGAAAGCCCGAGTAGCCACATTCACACTAGACATGGCTGCGATAGTTCAACATTCTTGATATAATAGATGGAGTAACACCATCTAGTGCTAGTAGATACTTTTTTGTCCACCTATTCTGACTGCTAGGTACTTGTAGAAGGTCATGACAAGTTGTGTGCTGAGGCTATCTGGTGCCAGCAACATTCTTTCCCTTTACTTGATTTATGCCTATGTGAACACAGTCTTCAATATGGTTCGAGGATAACTCCCAACAGTTCATCAGTGCTAGCCCTCGTAGTAACAGTCCTTTCATACATGATAATACTCCAGTTACCACTATCCCAAAGCATTCCATTCTACAACATTTGACCCCTTGGGTGCACAATATACAGGAAAGGTTATCATCACATGGTGAGCATACTGAGAACCTATACATACTGTGAATGCACGAGAGCTGGAAGACATGTACTTGCATTTCAACTAGTGACATATTTCCTTATGTCCCAGTCATATTTCAACTTAACTTGTTTATAAAGGTGAGGTTAGACTGAACGGAAGACTCTAAAAAGGTTGTAGCCATCAAATCTGAAAGCTGGAGCCATTCTTCTTGACATAGTAAGCGGGGCCTTTTTCCTCCCACTGATCACCAGTGGAGGCCTTCCTTTCCAACCTTCTCAGTGATTGACCATTACAGCATCCTTGGCAAGAATTAGAGGGTCGTCTGATAGCTGAGTCTCCTTTCCTTGATTAATCTGTATTGATCCTGGCAGATTGGTGATTCTGGGATCCTCTTTAGCTCAAAAAACTGTAGTACCAAATTTTATTAGAAATTTGAGATTAAGCGATTGAAATGTATAAATTTCACAATTCGACTGATTCAAATCGAGATTCGAATTGGTCCGACAATTTATCAACAGGTTCGAGTCGTATAACTCAGGGTGAAGAATAGCTAGTTGTTAAGGAGAGAGCTGCATCCTAGCTAAACAGAAGAGACTTAAATTTAGAGTGCAGAACACGGACAGTTAAATTTAAATGGCACCTTGGAGTCAGCTGGGAAGAGTAAACACTACTGTTTGTCAGTATGAATGCTAGTGAGTGCCGGCGATGCCTATGTATCCCGGCATACTTCAATCACATGGATGGCCAGTCACGGGGCCAAAACCTGTGTTTGGAGCCACAGTGAGGCGGTGGAGGCTTTCAGCAATGGGATTCCTATACAGCAACCCTATGACCACAGACTGCCCAACAAGCAGTACCGTGAGTTGTTCTGGGGGAAAGAGGCCCTTGTCCCCAGTGGAGCAATGGGGAGGCACATATCAGGGACCCAAGGTCACAGCTGTGGGCCCCGGTGTTGTGGGGAGCGAGCAGGCTTAGTCGACAGGCGGGTACGGGGGTCGGCTTCTTGGCCGATATGGGGCTTGGTGGCACCTATGGAAGGCCTGTAATCTGCCAGCATGGATGGGAAAAATGGACAACCGCAAGGAGTGTGAGGAGATTTCAAAGTGGCACATGGCAGAGTGGAAGCAATGGAGGCCGTACAGGGACCAGGTCACACTGTGGGACTCAGCAAGCAGCGTGACCAGGAGGTTTCGGGGGCCCATGGTACGATATGGGGCCTGGCGTGCACCATATGGCATTTGAGGGCCGAATAATCTGCCAGCAACCTATGACAAAATGGGACAACCGCAGGAGGCCTGTGAGGAGATTGTCAAAGTGGGCACATGGCAGAGTGGAAGCAATGGGAGGCCGTACAGGGACCCAGGTCACACCTGTGGGACCAGCAGCAGCGTGAACGCTTAGGAATCTGTACGGGGGCCCATGGCCGATTTGACATCATGGGCATCCCAGTAGTCCTGCCGACGATCTACGAATAGGCGTGGGCACTCCTCAAGAAGGGCCACTCTGGCAAAGCGTAGGTATGGTCACAATGAGCTGTGTTGCTTAATGGCTGTTTGCAGTCTAAGTGTACACAGGGGGAGTACCTTTATCCGCTGTTTTTGTAACATGGCAGGAAATCTGTGATGGCCTTTTAGCTGTTCGTAAAGGGAACCTGGTCCTGTACATATGTGGGTTGAATTTACACCTGTTGCAACGTCACAGCATGAGGAGTCGACGGTACGGGGGCCCATGGCAGATTTAGACTCATGTCTGGGCAGCAGCTCCGATATGTGGGAGGCCCGTAATCTGCCAAGCACCCTATGTCAAAAAACATCTTTAACACACCAGCAGTTGTGAAGGAGACCTGAAAGTGGCACATTGGCAGCAGAGTGTGGCGATGGAGACAGCAGCAATGGGAGGCCTGTACAGGGACCCTATGAGAGGACTCTGGAGCCCAGCTGCTTGGCAGGCAGGCATGAGGAGGCGGTATGGTATGGGGCCCATGGCAGATTAGGGGCCTGGCAGCAGCTATGTGAGGCCCGTAATCTGCCTGCACCCTATGTCAAAAAATTTAACACACCAGCAGTGTGAAGAGACCTGAAAGTGGCACATGGCAGGCAGAGTGTGGCGATGGAGACAGCAGCAATGGGAGGCCGTACAGGGACCCATGAGAGACTCTGGACTTGGCAAGCAGCATGAGGAGGCGGGGTGGTATATAGGGGCCCATGGCAGATTAGGGGCCTGGCTAAGCAGCTATGTGAGGCCCGTAATCTGCCTGCACCCTATGTCAAAAAATTTAACACACCAGCAGTGTGAAGAGACCTGAAAGTGGCACATGGCAGCAGAGTTAGTGTGGCGATGGAGACAGCAGCAATGGGAGGCCGTACAGGGACCCATGAGAGACTCTGGACTTGGCAGCAGCATGAGGAAAGGCGGTATGGGTATATAGGGGCCCATGGCAGATTAGGGGCCTGGCAGCAGCTATGTGAGGCCCGTAATCTGCCTGCACCCTATGTCAAAAAAATTAAACACACCAGCAGTGTGAAGAGACCTGAAAGTGGCACATGGCAGCAGAGTGTGGCGATGGAGACAGCAGCAATGGGAGGCCGTACAGGGACCCATGAGAGACTCTGGACTTGGCAGCAGCAGCATGAGGAGGGTAGGTATATAGGGGCCCATGGCAGATTAGGGGCCTGGCAGCAGCTATGTGAGGCCCGTAATCTGCCTGCACCCTATGTCAAAAAATTAAACACACCAGCAGTGTGAAGAGACCTGAAAGTGGCACATGGCAGCAGAGTGTGGCGGATGGAGACAGCAGCAATGGGAGGCCGCCGTACAGGGACCCATGAGAGACTCTAGACTTGGCAGCAGCATGAGGAGGCGGTTAGGTGGGTATATAGGGGCCCATGGCAGATTAGGGGCCTGGCAGCAGCTATGTGAGGCCCGTAATCTGCCTGCACCCTATGTCAAAAAATTTAACACACCAGCAGTGTGAAGAGACCTGAAAGTGGCACATGGCAGCAGAGTGTGGCGATGGAGACAGCAGCAATGGGAGGCCGTACAGGGACCCATGAGAGACTCTGGACTGGCAGCAGCATGAGGAGGCGGTATATAGGGGCCCATGGCAGATTAGGGGCCTGGCAGCAGCTATGTGAGGCCCGTAATCTGCCTGCACCCTATGTCAAAAAATTTAACACACCAGCAGTGTGAAGAGACCTGAAAGTGGCACATGGCAGCAGAGTGTGGCGATGGAGACAGCAGCAATGGGAGGCCGTACAGGGACCCATGAGACTCTGGACTTGGCAGCAGCATGAGGAGGCGGTATATAGGGGCCCATGGCAGATTAGGGGCCTGGCAGCAGCTATGTGAGGCCCGTAATCTGCCTGCACCCTATGTCAAAAAATTTAACACACCAGCAGTGTGTGAAGAGACCTGAAAGTGGCACATGGCAGCAGAGTGTGGCGATGGAGACAGCAGCAATGGGAGGCCGTACAGGGGACCCATGAGAGACTCTGGACTTGGCAGCAGCATGAGGAGGCGCGGTATATAGGGGCCCATGGCAGATTAGGGGCCTGGCAGCAGCTATGTGAGGCCCGTAATCTGCCTGCACCCTATGTCAAAAAATTGTATATAGGGGCCCATGGCAGATTAGGGGCCTGGCAGCAGCTATGTGAGGCCCGTAATCTGCCTGCACCCTATGTCAAAAAATTTAACACACCAGCAGTGTGAAGAGACCTGAAAGTGGCACATGGCAGCAGAGTGTGGCGATGGAGACAGCAGCAATGGGAGGCCGTACAGGGACCCATGAGAGACTCTGGACTTGGCAGCAGCAGGAAGGAGGAGGCGGTATATAGGGGCCCATGGCAGATTAGGGGCCTGGCAGCAGCTATGTGAGGCCCGTAATCTGCCTGCACCCTATGTCAAAAAATTTAAAACACACCAGCAGTGTGAAGAGACCTGAAAGTGGCACATGGCAGCAGAGTGTGGCGATGGAGACAGCAGCAATGGGAGGCCGTACAGGGACCCATGACAGACTCTAGGACTTGGCAGCAGCATGAGGAGGCGCGGGTTTATATAGGGGCCCATGGCAGATTAGGGGCCTGGCAGCAGCTATGTGAGGCCCGTAATCTGCCTGCACCCTATGTCAAAAAATTTAACACACCAGCAGTGTGAAGAGACCTGAAAGTGGCACATGGCAGCAGAGTGTGGCGATGGAGACAGCAGCAATGGGAGGCCGTACAGGGACCCATGAGAGACTCTAGACTTGGCAGCAGCATGAGGAGGCGGTATATAGGGGCCCATGGCAGATTAGGGGCCTGGCAGCAGCTATGTGAGGCCCGTAATCTGCCTGCACCCTATGTCAAAAAATTTAACACACCAGCAGTGTGAAGAGACCTGAAAGTGGCACTTGGCAGCAGAGTGTGGCGATGGAGACAGCAGCAATGGGAGGCCGTACAGGGACCATGACAGACTCTGGACTTGGCAGCAGCATGAGGAGGCGGTATATAGGGGCCCATGGCAGATTAGGGGCCTGGCAGCGCTATGTGAGGCCCGTAATCTGCCTGCACCCTATGTCAAAAAATTTAACACACCAGCAGTGTGAAGAGACCTGAAAGTGGCAACATGGCAGCAGAGTGTGGCGATGGAGACAGCCAGCAATGGGAGGGCCGTACAGGGACCCATGAGAGACTCTGGACTTGGCAGCAGCATGAGGAGGCGGGTATATAGGGCCCATGGCAGATTAGGGGCCTGGCAGCAAGCTATGTGAGGCCCGTAATCTGCCTGCACCCTATGTCAAAAAATTAAACACACCCGGCAGTGGTGAAGGA